AAGGTTCAAATTGAGCTGGTATGTAGCGCATGATCTGTTCTCCAATATTCTGTACCCACTGTAGATGAACTATGGACTGGTGATTCTTGTATTGGCCAAATAAGGAAAATTGTATCACACGCAAATCGCAAAAATTCTCGAAAAGAGGAGAGTCAGGACTGCGCTTGCTTAACGAATTGGATCCATACTATGATTCGAAGTTCCAGATTACAACAAAAAGTGACAGGAATAATGAAAAGAGCATCGGACTTTGTCTACAGCACGATTTTGGAGCGATAAACGATTATACCTAGTCTCTGTGCCATGTTTTCTGATCGCGCTATGCTGCGCCGCAGCCATTTTCTCGTTAGAAAAATTCACAGCTTTTCTACTAGTGCAACTGCTGACTGGCCCTTTTAAAATATTTTGGTATCCACTACCACATTCCTTAACCAGTACAGGATTTCTCAATTTCGTGTAACAAACAAAAAAATTTCCCAAAAATCTTCACACTTTTCCACATCTGTAATGGGTAGTTGCAAGATTGGGTATGAAATGGGCTGCGAAAAGAGATCCGCCGCCGGGTCCCTTTGTATAATTTTGAGGTCAGTTTTTTTGTAAAATGCTAAAATATATCCACATCTTGGTGATTATCTCAAATTTATCGGAAAGACCTGTGAATTAGGCCGATTTTTTAACTATATTTTGAGGGACAGCATTTTTTCCGCACTACAAAGAACTACTAATTGGTTGCTCACACTAGGAATCCTACTCTAGATAACCTCAACTGTGGAATTAGGAGCAGGCCAAAACCTGTTTGTCCCATTTTTCGCTTTCAATGTCTTAGACTAGAGAGGAGTTATCGGGCTCAAATTACTTCTGTAAAAGTTATAGGTTTAGGCCAGTGGCGTACCCAGAATTTCCGCTCGGGGGGGGGGGGGCGACAAAAATTTTATTTCAAATGAAGGTGCGTGGCGTCAGCCACGCACTCCGAAAGAATTTTAGGGGTGCTTCTCAAAATTTCTGCCGGTCTCCAACCCCTAAAATCTGGAAAAAGGGGGCGTGGCGTCAGCCAGCACTCCGAAAGAATTTTAGGCGTGCTTCTCAAAATTTCTGCCGGTCTCCAACCCCCAAAAACCTGGAAAAAGGGGGCGTGGCTAACGCCACGCCCCCGAAAAAATTTTTTTTACAAGGCTAGTTTGAATTTTTAAAATTTTTTAAAAATTATTTTAATTATTTACAAATATAAACAAGTCCCTTGCACGTTTTTATAACCCATATAAGTAACTTTCAAAAATTTCGCGACCCATTCTCGGGGAGGGGGCGCCCCCCCCCCCCCGTCCTCCCCCTTCGGTACGCCACTGGTTTAGGCTACTAAGGGCCGCATGCACTAACATCCTCGCGGGGAGGGGATCGCAGCTCAAAAGAAAGCTTCATATTCTGAAGCTCCAGATATCTGGATTTCACGCTGTGTACCTATCCGTAAGTATTCCTACTACCCTTCACTATGAACATGTTGAAGAGGAGCGAGAAGGTGTACGAACCGCATTTCCCAGCTTTTGTATGATCCCTGATGATCCCCGGCGCTTTTCTTTAAAGTCATTTTTCTTTCTCCGAAGTTAACGAAAACTTTCCAAAGCTGTACTGAACATCTAACACAACAGTGCTAAGCATGTTGCTGATGAGAACAAATGAGTTTTTGAAAAATCGAATTTTTCGGTAAACCTCAAATTTCGACCTATGGATCATCGGAAATTTCATGACTTCAAAACTTCATTTGTTCTTATCAGCAACATGCTTAGCACTATTGTGTTAGATGTTCAGTACAACTTTGGAAGGTTTTCGTTAACATCGGAGAAAGAAAAATGACTTTAAAGAAAAGCGCCGGGGATCATCAGGGATCATACAAAAGCTGGAAAATGCGGTTCGTACAGCTTCTTGCTCCTCTTCAACATGTTCATAGTGAAGGGTAGTAGAAATACTTACGGATGGGTACACAACGTGAAATCCAGGTATCTGGAGTTTCGAAATATAAAGCTTCCTTTTAAGCTGCGATCCCCTCCCCGCGAGGATGTTAGTGCATGCGGCCCTAAGAATATCTATTCTTGCTGCTTTCCCTTGCGTTCACGTGGCAGCGTAGACCCAGCATGTTACCGTGACCAATATTTTCGCAGTATTTTTCACTTGCTTGTGAAGAAAAAACAACTTTATCTTACTCTAAAGAAAAGGACTTGGAACGAAATTTCTATTATAAAGAGAAGAAGGTGTAGCAGTGGCAGCGATGTACAGATATTTAAGTGCTTTGGAAGTGATAATGGGTGTGACACAACTTCTAGAAAGATGTGGCAGCCACAGCTTTTCTGAGGTAATGCTACATCTCACTAATACTTTGACGACAGGGCACATTTTTGCTCGTCTGCCACTTGGGACAATGATGATTTTAAGTGAATTCTCCATGTAAACCAGGGTGATCTTAGGTTATTCAACATGCTGATTTCTAATATCGCAATTAAAACTTGGTGTGGAGCTTCAAAAAGGCACTACATTGAGGTACTGCAAACCGATGCTTATCAGGTTCGAAAAGTAAGCTTGTACCTTCAAAAGCCACAGCAACACTGACTATTTTCTAGGATGCTTACTTTCATAAGGCTTCGGACAGACGCGATTTGATCTTCGCGACTCAATCGCCGACATTTCCATTCATTTTCATTTCACATTCAAAAATTTCGGGCTGGAAAGGTATCACAACCGAAATGCAAGTTGATCGGCATGGAATGATGATGTAACAGTTGCCTCGTCGCGATTCAGTCGCGACGATCAAATTGCGTGAAGTCTGTCCGGGGCCTAACAGTGATATGAGTTATTTGATCGCTACGGTTTCGTTGAGTATGTGACTAATATTAAATAAATAGATAATTTTGAGCTAACGATCACAAAAAATATCTAATCTGTCAGGTATATGGCACTCGGGTTTGTCACGTTGGTCAAAATTATCACGTGATAGGTTCGATTTGTCGGGCATAATTGGAGCATGACCTTATCATGGACGGTGAAAAAAAAGCTTTGATCGATTTTTGATAGACAGTGATGAAGGAGAGAGGGGTCCTCGAGCCGACGCCGAAGAAAGGATCAGTTATTCGACACACAAAAGACAGATGAAGGCGAGACGGAAGAGGGCGATGCTTCCTATAACGTCGAAAAGAGAATGCGAATATCAGCGCTTCAAAATGCATACTTTCACCACTTTCTCCGAGATGTGCTCAGATTTTGGAGCCGATTGTACAGAGCCAACTAATTTCTATCGGCTTTTGTTGATGATGATTTACTCGGTAACATCACTAAGAAGACAAATTGTTAGGCAAACAGAAGAGTTCCTCTTGCACAGAAACATCAGTATTGGAGCTCAGTTTTTGTTTTGTTGTGACAATGCAAATGGGAATCGTAAGACTGCCTTCGCTACGCGATTAGGTCTACAGATGTGGTGTTTGAAGGCAACCCAATTGGTGCCAAAGTGATGGCAAGGGCCAAATGTGAAGATCTTTTAACAAATATCCATTTCGCTGTTGAAGAACGGCTGACAAAAGAATAGGCTGTACAAAAGTCAGAACTTCGTGAATGGAATGAATGAACCGTTCCAAGGAGTGTACAAGCCCTAAGAAAAGTTTGCGTCAACGAATCCTTGGTTCCATTTAGGGGAAGATCGTATTCCGCCAGTAAATGCCCAAAAAGGCACAATTACAAAAAGAAAATCTTTGAGCTATGCACTAGAGGCCGATATACATATTAAATGAGTGTATGCGGGGAAACAGCATTGATCTAGAGAAGGAAGTGTGGCGGAGGATGTCGCTATGAAGCTCATAGATGGCCATCTGGACTGTGGCAAAACCTTATATGGATAATTGGTGCACAAGCCTCCCTCTAGCGAGAAGCCACACCCAAGGGATAACAATCTCGCTGGCACGAGGAAAAGCAGGCGAGGACTGCTCAAAGCGAATGAAACCACACTGAGACGCGCGGAGAATCTATCGCGCGTTAGAATCGAAAAGGAATCATGGTATTTGAGTTGACGGACAAATAGGTGTGTTTATGCTGTCAAAACTATTTACGACAGCACAACCAACCACTCAGGAAAACCTCTTGTCATCGCGGATTATGACCAGGGCCCGGCACGAGGTTGGCAAAAGGAATTTTGAAAACGAATTCCGCTTTGATCTCAAGTTTTATTTTACGAATACCGCTTTGAACCCAAAATCGGGACCTAGTGCTTGTAACGAAGCACGTGCCAAAGTGAGCGCTTAAAAGCCTCACAAGCGCTTTAAAGCACCAGAAAGCGCCAGAGTTTCCGTAATTTTTCTTTACCTTTTTACCTTCTTTCTCTTCCCACCTTTTCCTAGTCTTGCGCTAGTCCAGAAGCCCGGCATGCTTAAGACCCAAACGGAACGTGTGTGAGAAAAGATGAGAGAAGTTAAGAAAAGTCGAAGAAATTTAAGCGCTTTGGGAAAAGTCTGCCATGCCGCTTTACCAAGAGATAAACTGTTACCATCTACCTAAAATTTTGAACTCAGAGGGCTAAAGATGAAATTAAGTTTTGCATGAGATCGGTCAATCTCCCATATGTTTGACGATTATGTAAATAAGCTGGTAAAAGTTCCGAAAAATGGTGGTGTTTGGGCAAATATTGAAAGAACCGATTGTAGACTAAAGTAAGACTAAAAATTTAGTTACGCGTAAATGGAATGATTCTAGATATAGTACACAGATATTCTCACATGATTTCAAATATCAGCTGAAAGGACAGTTGTTCTTGCTAAAAATGTTCTTCTACTTGATGATATTCTGCCTGAAAGTTCGATCGAAGCGGATTTCAGTGTAAAGCATGAGTGGCTCTGTCAAATGAACAACCTTCAATGACTCTGTCTGACAGAACAATAATGATATCACTGCTATCATATTTTGAGAAAGTCCACGAAGGCTAAGAGTCGTTCATTTTTTTTTCTACTCGGACAACTGAGCAGTACTGCATGGGTTCTCACTCCAAAGAAAAAGATGTGCGTGCAACTCCGTTGACTTTCTAATCAGAGGTGTACTGTTTCAGAGAAAAAGTGCTTCACATACAGCAGAAAAATCAGAGTTAAGATCAGAGGCAAGGTCCGAAATAAGATCGGAAGCAGAACATATTGAAGGTTTTGATAAAGAAGAAGAAAAGGCTCGTGTCAGCTGCTTTCGGCAATCTAAATTCGTACATCACTTAATTTTGCTACGATCTAGATTCTGAAAGAGTATGAATTTTATCATGGTTTTCTACCTCGAGAAGATCTATTTTGTCTCTTGAAATATGTCGGGGAATTCTTAATAAGAGTTAGTGAGGTGAGTGCACAGTTTGAAATTTGAAACTCCGAAATCTCTTTACGAATGCCTCAAAAACTTTTCCACATAAATCTTGTCAACCTTAGGTGCAGTTCATCCTAGTGAAGTTCTACATTCAAAAAAAAAACAGATGCAATGTACAGAATTGTGTGGAGCATATTTGTTCTTGACCAAAGTCAGCAACTTCCAAAACTGGTTGTGCATCACGCACCAATGTCCACCTCTGCCAATGGCTACTCACTGATTCTACTCTCCGCATGCCCCCTCCTGCTTGCATGATAAGGAATCCGCTCTGGAACTCACCGAATATGCTCAACAAAGTGTAAATAACTGCTCATTCTCGAAGCTTCCACATCTAAGATCGGTAACACTATATGTGAGAAGACTTTTAGCAAAAAAGCGAATGCAAAAACACATTGAAGACTATGTGAGGTTTATCCGATGTATCCACATAGGGCCATGTGACAAATGTATCGGTCGAAATTGCTGGCTGTAATAGGTTCAGTAATCCGTCAGGGCTTTGTTCATATACTTTCAAATCATAGAGCCATCTTCTATGGCGACCTCACTCTGAGCGTTGAAAAAAAAGCACAAATTCTCAAAAGAAAGGAAACCATCGGAGCAAAGCCATTATGCTAAGGCTGCTACACCCATACAATGCCGCTGTTGTTGGTGATATTACCACCGTTACCGCTGCATCCGCTGTTTCTGCTGTTGAATAAGATATCAGCAATACGCTCTCATTTTCCAAGATCTACTCTCATCGATTTGTGAGTTCATTTCATCAAACATGTGACATAATTTCTTGTAGAGGAGGGTGTACTATAGTGAGAAAACCTACTTATCGAGATGAGAAAGAAAGATTACTAACGCACAGGTGGTGTTTGAAGGTATTAGAGTGATCACTAAAAAATGGGACACCTAGAGAATAAACGTAGATTTCTCAAAAAAGAAAAGTGATTAAACTTCCCAATTTTGGTAGATGTTAGAATAGGTTATTCTCTTTCAGCAAATACCTATATAAGGTCATTTACATAATAATAATTTTTATAGTGGCTGAAATGCAAAGTCAGTCACTTTGACAAATTAAAAACTTTGGGCAGTATCTGCGCAGTGAAACATGTGAGACCACACAAAGTACCACTGCTGGAGTGGGTGGTGGGACAGTCACTAGACCCACGACAGCTTGATGGCGTCAACTTTCAAAGTCAGGAGATATAGCCATTAGTAGCTTCGAGAACAAAGATAAGCGTTATTCAATTCTTTGCAGGTGAACGCATGTTCTATAGGTACCATGTGAAAAAGCTTTTTACGCTCTATCCATCCATATGCAGTTTACCTCACATTTTATCTATCTTCGGAAAATACAGATTGAAACTTGATTTACTGGTTTTTGTTGCGCCAAAAAATCGCGATTTTCCAGGTATTTCGCTTTTTTTACCCAGAAATAGAAAGAAATTCTGTATGTTTCTTATACTGTTTGAAAGAGCATGAAGAGCTCCTTCGAATGGTATATCAATTGCTATATAAATTTGCGGTATGGCAGCGCAAGAATGAGCGAGGTTCAAAAAACCCTGTTCGAGTTCTTCAGAACGCCACGCATAGTGTTGTGGGAGAGGAGCGTTGAGGTTTTGCCAGAATAATAGGCGAAGGTCGCTTATATAAGCGACGTTTACGTTGCAGCCTGCTTGTTGTTGACCGAAACAAAAAATTCGCCCGCTAAGAGTAGGTAAAGTAGCTAATGAAAATTTGAGTAACAGCAGTGAAGCGGTGGCAACAGCGGTAATGGGAACAGAGGTAATAAGTGGCCGAAGCAAAAGTCACAACCACATCAAAATTATAATGAGTGAAGTGTGAAAATGAGTAGTAGTTAGGTAGATTAGCACCAAAAATGCATTTTCATAGTCTTTTCGTTTTGAAAAGAAAGTAGATGGAAGAACCTGCATGACAACGAGGTTTTTAATGCCACCGATTTGAAATACTTTATTAGCCCAAATACTGAAGGATCGGTGTAATACAGCGATGACGTCAGCGGTGCGGCGAGTACGGTAGGGAGATGGCTTACGGCCGGTCAGCGCTCAACGACTCGAGTGCCATTCTACCACTCAGCTCCTGCTCCGTCGATCACCCCTAAACGAATCAACCGTAATATCGTATTTTGGCTAGTTTTCAATCCCTTCAATACCTGCCATCATTTTCTTGAGGAGCGAATGCAAATCAAACTTTTGCCGCAGTAACAACAAAGAACCGAAAACAAGGAACCGAACAAGAACGTACGGTAACCACACGGCGATCAACGGCTGAATTTGCGATGGAGAACGGCCATTGAGCGGGGCGCGTTATTAGCATTGGACTTCTTATTTTTTAGATGGTACTATTCCAGAATGCACAGGGTACGGGTCAGGAGTCACGATTTTTTGCGAAGCGACGCCGCAGCGCGACTCCAAGCAGTACAGGCCTCAGCTCCCGTCAGTACTGCCGCAATGTTACGCATGGCATCAAGTCATGTATCTGCCGCCACCCCCACCCCCTACTGTGGCGCCGTGCCACTTTAGCAGTGGAGAGTTTTTGTAAGGCTCAAAATTTGGGAGCGGCGAGAGGCCGCCACGAGCGGTGTGACCCCTGACATGGAGCCGAATACACAGTCCAAAAATGAAAAATGTTTGCTAAAACTTTGTAACCTCGAGTCATTTGTAACTTAACATGTGAAACTGCACACCAAGTCCTATTAACGACGGCACTCATACTAGTAACCTTCCAGTAAAACACTTTCTAGCCTAACAATGTGTGAGAATGTGTTCTACTGACTGACATATAACCAACAAAAGGAAACGAAACAAGAAAACAAGAAGCAATCACTGGATATGAGCAGATTCTAGTTTTGCAGTTCGTTAGTTAGTATGTAGAGTGTGCACTACGCATATCAAGTTGCAAATGACTCGACGACACACAGGGGTTATTTGAAATGCTGATTACGAAAATGATATTCATTTCGCATGGTATGGCCTTTTTGAAGGGCTACGGTAGGCACACGGTAGAGGTAAAATCTCAGATATTGCTGATTCTCCGCACAGAGGGGTTATTCGACATGCTGATCACAATTAACACGCTTTTTCTGCATGAAAACGTCTCCCTGTATAGTTACGGTAGGAATACGGTAGGGGAAATCGTAAATTTGACTGGAATGTGTGCTAGATGGGTTACTCAGCACGCTGAACATGTATATTATATCAAACCAGTGCGTCACCTCTGCTTCGCAGAGGTTCGCACTGGCTCTACTATCTATGTGCCTTACTCATTCTCGTAAAATCGTGGCACTGGAACTCACCGCGCTATGCCGACTACCACGAATGAAATGTAAACAACTACTCATTCAAAAAGCTTTTTCACGTGAGATCGGTGATTTCGCGTGGATGAAACTTCTCACAGGAAGACAAACGCAAATTTGAATAGGTTTTTGAATTTGTCATGGCTTGGTAGTCGCCATAAAGTTAATGATAACCGTGAGCTACATCTCTATGCGAAAATCTTCTCAAACGCTTACAAGGAAACGATACTCGGTGTCCGCGGGCTTTTAAGATGATATGTATACCATTACAGTCGTCTTGGAACACTGATTCCGAATCTGACTTCTGTTTCTGCTAATCGCTTCAAAAATGTTATAATGGATCGCGCGGATTGTGGATGCCCATTGAAATACGGTCGGAGCGCCAACGCTAGATGTGCACTGTGGTCTAGTGGTTAGTGCGATAGCCCCATGAGCTGATCCAGTTGCAAGTTCGAATCCTTTTGTGTTTTTCAGTTTTGCATTGCCTCAATTAACCTTCTTTTGCATCACAGAGCTAAGTGAACACCCTTACTCTTGAAAAAATGTGAAAATTCGGAAAAATGATAACTATTTGCGCTAAATTGTATCCAATGATCATAGCTCAAGTAAATTTTTTCGAACAAGCTTAATTGAGGTAATGCAAAAGCAAAAACACAAAAGGGTTTGAACCTACACCTGCATCAACTTATAAGGCTATTGCACTAACCACTAGACCAGAAAGTGGCCGCGGTACAGGCCGTTCCAATGACCATATTTCCTATTAAGTAGCCAAACTTGGCTCGAAATTCTCCCATAACTTCTTTTAGAGAAACGATTAGCAGAAACGGAAGGCAGATTCGGAATCAGCGTTCGAAGACGAGTGTAATGGTATAAATCATGTTTTGAAAGGCCACGGACATTGAGTATCGTTCCCTTGTTAGCTGGAACCTTGGCAAATTGACCATTCATTTACACAACCAATTCGTTTTGGCGCCGTTTTCGTTATGTAGTAAACTTTCGACCACTTTTCTGGTTAAACTCCATCGCTTGCACATTTGCTAATCAAACTCATCCACGACTCTGCAAAAAGTGGTGGTGCGAACCGAATTTTGCGGTGCAGAAGCCAGGTGGACCCGTTTGGCGCGCAATTTCTGTGAGTTCCACCCAACGAATCCGCTCATGCTTTTGCATGGTGGAGTTTTGTGCTGGTAGCATGTGCTGTGCAAAATTCGGGCCCAGGACGTTTGCTGGAATACGCTCTACGAACTTCGTAACAGACACACACATACAAAGTCACGTAAACATCCTTAGCCCGTTATTATAAGTCATGATTCGAAATGTAGCGCCATTTTCTGGGATTGCGATGGGTATACGTTAGTTAGGTCAACGCGCCAAATTTGCTTAAGACTTGCCCTTGAGGGGTTTTCAAGCATGCTGATTAGAATATCATGCTTGCTCACTGCAGTACGCCTTATTGTGGAGTTACGGTAATATACAGCGTATAAACAGACAACATTTCTGCTTTTCAGACCAATTTACATCCCAAAAATCCACGAATTGGCTTTATCATGCGACATAAGCGTGATATCCGTGATCAGCACATCAGATAACCCCCTTGCACAAAGATTCAGACAAATCTACGATTTTGGACCCTACCGTACACCTACCGCAACCATACGGGGGGACGTTTCCATGCGGAAAAAGCGTGATAATCGTAATCAGCATGTCGAATAACCCCTCTATGCAGAGTTTCAGCAAGATCTGAGATTTTAACCCTCTACCGTATGCCCACCGTAACCCTTCAAAAAAGCCCTAACATGCGAAATGAATCCCATTTCCTTGACCAGCATGTCAAATAACTCCTATATACAGAGTTTTAGCGAAATCCGGGAATATTTTTGGATTGTGTATTTTGGAATAGCGCCGCTTAACCAAATATATCTTCCGTTTTTCTTTAGTTTGTAACAACCAGGCGAAGGTGAAGAAGCGGAACAAATTAGCGATTGTGCAAAGGTGATACATAAGAAGTGGTCGTCGTGATTAGCAAAACACTAATTTCTCAATATTTGGTCAAAAATGCTACAAGCTAGATGCGGGCAATATTCTGTAAAAGTATGGAAATCTCAGTTCTACTACTCCCACTTTTGGTCTTTGCACCTCTTGTCACGTACTCCGCAGTTGCTTTCAAGTACGCTGGCTTATTCATTGTTCGCGTATCTCAGTGCAATAACGTTTGCACTACAGTCTTCTTCTTTCGTCAAGGGTTTTTTTGCACTTCGACTATGCATCCAAACTTTTTCGTTGCTTTCGATCCGAAGTTCAAGTAAATTTTTCATCGGGTCCACTCCGTATGACTCACTTCCCCATGAAGTTTTCATATAAGCACATCTACTTACCCTCTGTACCAACTCCCAGTCCCTAGCTCAAAGTTTGAAATCTGTGAAACCGTAAAAGTAGGACACTTTCAGTAATCAAGATTACATTATAATCAGAATGCTCGCTTAGGCTCCCGCCAGAGTGCCGAAGCCATGCCAGCGCTACGCCCGGCGCCGAGCCAGCGTTTCGATCGATACACGTGTATTTCGTTGGGGACGTCTACCTGCTGAGAACTAGGTCAGCTAGCCCCGCCCCAACGAAATACAGTGTATCGATCGAAACGCTGGCTCGGCGCTGGTGTAGCGCTGGCATGGCTTCGGCACTCTGGCGGGAGCCTTGCCTCTCCACACCAACTTCCAGCCCTGCAGCTCAAACTTTGCAAAAAACCAACATAGTCACTACCGACCGATAACAACAAGTAGTAACACACCCTCCCCTCCCGAATTGTATGTGAGGAAGGCTTGGTCCGGAACTTATCTTTGAAAAAGTTAAAGGGAAAAAGTCTGCTCTATTCACAATCCGCGCTCTACGGCGAATCTAACTGTTTGAGCGCCGTGTGGTTACCGTACGTCCCGAACAAGAACATAAACATGGTAACATGAGCAACGGCTAGAGAATAATAGAGCGTAGCGTCTTCCGCTCAGTGCACATATCGCTTGTGTTCCCGCGGCTCCACCTTGTGCTTCTATCTCAAACATTATCATACAGCGCGGTAAAAATCACACATCACTCTTGCTTGTAATTTTTACCGCGCTTTAAGGAATAGGGCTCCTATTAAATTGTGATTTTGACATTACGGATCCGTCGCAATTTGAATCCCTTATTGAATATTCAGGTAGATAATGATCCACGTCAAAGAGGAAAACGAGAAATAATACTGTCAGTCGTATGCGAATGTACACCTAACGAATTATCTCGTATATCTAACATTGACCGACCAATTAATGAGAAGGAAGATGAAGCGCAAGGTAAAACGGGATATGATAAGAAAGTTCGTGGAAAGGTGGGTTTCCTCGTCTTATCCATTTTGATGTCTCGTTTTTTTGTGTGAGTACGAATCCGCGTAGGCCTTCTTCACTTTTACCGGTGCAAGCTTTGTGAGATAAATTGCGATCGTTTCTCATAGCATATCATTGACAAAACCCAAGAACATTTGGGAACTTGTGCTTTAGAAATGCTATGTATTGCACTGTAGGTAGCTATAATGAATAGATAAAATACAGTTATTGCGGACTTTAGTATTTGTTCGTGTGCTGCAAAAAGAATAAAAATCAAAATTCTCTATGAAAGAACTCTGCTGGACAAATTAGAAACCTGCACATGTAAAAAATTTCCATATCATAGCACAATTTCTTTCTGTACTTTTTTCGTTATTCGGACCTGATTTTTTAAAGGCTCTCACATAATACGTTCTTCAGTCTAAAAATAATTTTCTAAAGACTACGAGGATTGTCTCCCTACCGCGTGTCACAAAAATTGACACGTTTTGGTCTCATTTTAAGTTTTTTTCGAAATCTTTTGCGGTGAGGTAAGAGAGAATTTGGATTACCTAAAAGCTGTTTAATTGTTTTATGAGAGCTAAACAATCTAGAACTTATTCTAAAACATCTTGAGTTCTGAATTATTGCTTTCAGCAGTATTCAAAAATGTCTTTCCCCCTAAATCCTTTTCGTCGTGCGAATTTAGCCAAAAAAACCTATTAATAATGGCTTAAAAGTTTGCTGCTTATTTCGCCCCTCAAATGACGAAATCCTAGCTCTCTTTATTCTGAGCAAGTCTAATATGTGTTATCGAAGATACTATATTGTTATTATTATGACAATGTTCATTATGAATTGATTGATCGAAATGAGGTCAAAAGACCAAAAAACAGATTGAGCTTTCGTTGCTAAGTAGGGTAAAACAAACTCTGGTGAAACCTGTAAACATGTAAATGACATGTGAAATTTTTTTGACAAGTGGCAGAAGGTTGACACTCCTTTCTGTGAGGCTGGGACCAAATATTACTTTGAAAAAATGGGTCCGGATAACGGAAAGGTACCTACCATTCTTTCATTCTACAAACCCTCTGAGAGAGAGAGAAACTAGAAAAAAATTCAACGAAATGGTGTCGCTTAGTAATCTTTTCTCTGTAAAACACATCCGAAGGAAATTTTGGGATTCACTTTCATACAGCTAGAAAGTCCGCTAACGGGACCATGTTGCTGGATCGCTATTAGCAATAAATATCCATCGGCGTCTTCAAGTTGTTCGCGAGTAGACTAGCTGCCCGCTCTCTTCGTTAACCAGTGAAGATTGGGATACCATTGCCGCACCTGATCTGATCAGCCACCTGAGCGATGGTGTTTGTTACCTCCTGTAAGGAAACCTTGACGGCAATTTTGTGTTCCATTATGTGAAAGATCAGCCTTGTGTCCGTATGCGTTGCAGTCGAAATTATCGGGAATGATAACTGGTGAGCGTGGCCTTTTGAAATATGTTACATCAGAATGCTCGCCTTGAAACGCTGATTTCAAAACTAAGTCCGTTATTTGCGGAAGGTTTTTGTTAGAAGAAATAGCGCTTGTAAAAACAAAAGCAAAAATACTGCACTGAGAGAGATCAAATGGACATCCACCGTGCCGTAACCAACAGCGCTAACCATTAGACCATTCGATACATTAAGCGACTTTCAACATTACTCGTACTATAGTGCAAACACTTCAGATGGGAAAAGACACAGTCTCAAATTTCCTTTCCCCGTTAGGTATGTACGTTGAGGTAGGAAATCTCAGATAGCATTTCGACAACGATTTATCTCAAAATCTCAAAGAGTATGCTATTGAAATGATGATTGGGAAGTTCAATACTTTTTTGGCTGTAAATAATAACGCACTAACTCTCCATACCTTCCAGTAATCCTAAACAATCCCATTTTTTTCTGAAAATTTTCAAGTATTTCAGCTAAAAAATGTGATAGTACGAAGGAAAGGTGGGAAATACTTGGTAGAAGTAGCAAGACTTTTCGAGTCCATCCCGCAGTTAATAGACCATTATCGTCAAACACCTGGAAAGCTGAATAAGGTAAAAATGTTTATTATTCTTGCGAGTAAACCTCTGTCTGACCCGTTCAACGTTGCAGATAACTTTCCTTCTCAAATATCCCATAAAGCAACAGTCTTGGGAGTATACTCATCAAGACGTTCAACAAGGAAAGCTGTTGGGAGAAGGGGCGTTCGGAGAAGTCCGGGCAGGAACCTTGAGACTAAAAACGGGAAAAGTCGTTGACGTAGCTATAAAAGTTGTAAGTCAATTTAGTAACTTCAGTCAGGAGAGGTAACGCTGCACATAAACCATGTGACTTTTTGTAAAATATTGTTGTGATAATAGTCTGTTTGTGAGTTGGCATCAATTCAGTAAAGCCAAGAAAGCGGTAGCCTACTACCTTCTTATTCCATTCAAAAAATGTGGGTAGAGGAACAAACACCTCAATTAGGCACCGCCTCCGCGGACCACTGGCCCCAACACCATGCACAACAGTAGGACGAAAGGACCAGCAGCCCGCGGAGGCGATGCTTTCGAAATGCAGGTTAGGGAGCAGAAGCGTCGTAAGCTTCGCAAAAAATAAATCGAGAATTTCTTCGAGGCCCTTGATTCAGTTTGGACCTATGCAGCCGATCGCCAAGGTCGAGACGCAGAGTCGTTGTGCGCCCTATGATCATGCTCGTGTGCGAAGTGCGCTCTGGCCTGCATTTTGAAATCAATGGCCGGGAAGTACAGCTTGTGGAATGAGAAAAATTTTTTCGATTATTTGACAGTTGTCGTAGCATTTTTATGAACTGTAATTCTGCGAGTTATTCTAGACAAAAGGATGCTCAGATATCGGTAAAGCAAAAATCAAGGAGATGATGAAAGAGGCAAGATTGATGAGGAATTTCAGGGTAGGCATTATTATAAATAATCACTAAGAGAACTGTGAACGTATGTACACATTTTAGCATAGAAATGTTGTGCGCATATACGGAGTAGCCGTAGACGAGCAGCCGCTCTACATCATTCTTGAATTAGTCAGTGGTAAGTCAAAATGTAGTTACGGATGACACTTTTGTGTACCAACAGCACTTCTCACTGATTGTATTGAACCTTCTTACGAGGTATGAGATGAGTATCGACTAAAGCATTTAGACGCTGACAAGTCTGCATTCCGTATGTAAGTCAGTGGAGCATCAATGTATTGATGTAGTGGTTAGCGTGCTAACAAGGAGAGGATACTTAGTCGAAAGCACCAATCCAGATAAGACATACATCTTAAAGCGCTTGAAACGCTGATTCTAAATCTGCAGTTTTTAGCTGCGGAGCGGTTTTGTAGAGGGAGTTATGAGGGGTGTTTCCCTCTAGGGTCGAGGCGCCCTCCACCATGTCTCCCCTACCTATAAGCACTGTAGAGGAGTACCAAGCGCAGTGGTGGCAACTGGCCTCATGGTAAGTAACTTGAATGAAGATTACAGTAGAGATCATAATATTCGTATTACTTTGGTTTTTTACCACTTCTATAGCATCAATATCATCAAAAATCTCAAGCTTTAGAGCTTCAAAGACATTTAGAAGCTCAATTTTGCAAAAAAAACTGCGACAAAGTTGCGTGCGAAGAGGACTAAGACCTTGACACTCTCTTTATCAAGCATATCACTGACCACTAGGTCAGTTGCCACCACTGCGCTTGGTACTCCTCTACAGTGCTTATAGGTAGGGGAGAAATGGTGGAGGGCGCCTCAACTCTAGAGGAAACACTCCTTATAACTCGCTCTACAAAACCGCTCCCCAGCTAAAAACTGCAGATTTGGAATCAGCGTTTCAAGCGCTTTAAAATGATATATGTCTCATCTGGATTGGCGCTTTCGACTTAGTATCCTCTCCTTGTAAGATGAGAGCTCAATGGGTCGAATCCAGTGGAAAGGTTTTATTATATGCAGCTTAGCCAATCTTTTCGAAATCAGATATGCCAAAAACACTGCCAGAAATGCTGCAGACGGTTTCGAGCGTATCTAACTCACGTCCAAAATGCAAAAGATTTTGCCCTCCACCATATTTGGGCCAGTGACCTCACGGCAGACTCCCCGGACTTAGAAAGCGCATAAAAATGGGATTTTCAAGCTTCTTTCTTTCAAGAGAGTTCCGCAAAGACGGAAATGCAGAAATCGGCGTTCAGAATGCTTTACCGATATTCATCAGTTATCAAACGGCCGGCCTTTGAAAGTACTACCCTTTTAGATCCACTCGTGCGTAGCTTGTTGAAGCTCGAAGCTTTTAGTTTACGAAGTGGAAACCAACAGAGTGACTATTCTACACAGTCTTTCTAGAGAGTAAAAGGAACGCATATAAGTTCCAAAGCTCTGTTCACAGCTGTCCACAGAAAAACCTGTATTTATGTATAAATGCAGCCTAACTCTAAGCACCCGATTAAAAAATCTAAGTCCATTACACTGTGCAAACAACGCGTTGACAGCGAACCAGCCAGATAGGCACCCGCCATACTTGCTCCGCTTGATCCGCTTGATCCGCTTAATCCACTTGATCCGCTTGATCCGCTTGATCCGCTCGATCCGCTTCGTGCAAAACGCGCGCACTCAGCAGTCTGTCATTTGGCGTCGCGTACAGCGAATTTGCTTAGCCATACGAGATTCCTTTTTACCTACGCGGCGCCAAATGACAGACTGCTGAGTGCGCGCGCTTTGCATGAAGCGGATCGAGCGGATTAAGCGGATCAAGCGGATTAAGCGGATCAAGCGGAGCAAGTATGGCGGGTGCCATACCTACACAGCACGTCGATTCAACATTCTCAAACAGTTTTTATTTACAAGATAGAATCCAATCAGCTTCTTTAGCACGCCCAGACATTCTTGAGCGCGGCCGAATTTGTGAGTAACCAATGATAACCTAAATAAATGTACGGAAATTTGTGCAAAAATTGTGTGAATTGCGAAGATTTTGTTTTTCTATCGCGTGGCCTTTGCAACCTGTGGAATTTGAGGCTCCGACCACACTAAAACGTGCTCCTATCACAAACAGAATTCCTTAAACATCTTTTACATTGAATCATTCTTCTTTCCGTTTGCTACCGCTTTAATCCATACAGAAACCGCGACTCTTTCGAGATTTGCTGAGTTTTTTCTAGTTTTTCATAAACAGCAAAAGGTTGTGACTTCGTCAATGTCAGAAGGCGCTGCGTTCTCGAGTACAGATGTTACCTCATGCCGTGCTTTATGTGAAGTTTCAAGTAGGAGCTATTTATGTGCTACTGGATCGTCGCCAAAAGTCACCAGCTTCTGATTTTGAGAGGACTTAAGTAAAGCTTTTTTACGTGTATACTGCCATTTCTTTCTTCTTCTTTTTTAATGAAGGCCATAAGTAATTAAATTTGCATGCTGTCTGCAAATAAGTGAACTCTTTTATCTTTCTTCATCTAACCACGCTAACAAACTACCTGCGGTGTTCCTTCGTTTCTAATGGGTAAGCTGCTGTTATCTCAGTGCTATGAATCATTTCATGTTAGCCTCAGAAGGCTTGAAGTGGATGGCAAATGGCAGTGAAGCAAATCTTGACAACCAAGAATCTTAACGCAGTAGGTTCCTTATCGCCCAAGTATGAAAACAGTGCAACTCCGGTTGCGCAGCATGCTTTCCCTGTCGAGAAAATTGCTCTCAAACTTACACGCGCAGGCCAATCTTACACGCATCCGGACGAGTTGGCAATTTGCCTCTTACCAGTGGATTTTCGCGATCATCATATCGAATAACCCCAGGTAAGCGAAAATTTGACTAGGTTGAGATTTGCCGAGCCCTGCCTTTAAGGTCTTATTCATTTTAGTGTTTTCAAACATTCATAGAGCCCCTGTATTCGGATATTGTTAGTAAGTGGTGAATAAAACTACTTTGATGTCTTTTTTCACTCACGACTGTTGGCTCAAATATAGGCGCATACTTTTGCGCACATTCATCCCTTAGGCTCCCGCCAGAGTGCCGAAGTTATGCCGGCGCTACGCCAGCATTTCGATCGATTCACGTGTATTTCGTTGGGGCGGGGCTAGCTCAGCAGGTAGATGTGCCCAACGAAATACACGAGTATCGATCGAAATGCTGGCGTAGCGCTGGCATAACTTCGGCACTCTGGCGGGAGCCTCAGCTTGCCATTGCCAGCATGACAACGTGAGAGTAATTAATTATAATTAATCTGTATTACATATGTATAAAACTCAAACATTGTAAATGTGTTCGTTTACAGCAAAGATCAGTTGACGTGACCCGGGCTAGACCGGGAAAACCAGTTAGTCAATTATATAAATCGACCTAATAGTTAACGTTTTGTTTGCGAAATTAAATGGAGTGTAATTCCAAAAGAAGAGATTACTTATAAAAGTACTAAGTGAAGCTTATTTACAGGGGGTGCCTTGAACACATTCTTAAAGGAAAATGCGGGTAAAGTCGAAGTGAAAGAAAAGCTAGACATGTGCCTCGGAGCTGCACTAGGTGTAGAATATTTACATCTAAATCAATGTATGCATCGCGACTTGGCAGCGAGGAACTGTCTTATCACGAAAGAAAAAGTGGTATGTGTGTTTGTCTATTTTGTCCTGCAATCTGATACTGTTAGGGATATCCCATAATTTTGCACCGTTTTCACCCTCAACATTAGCATTTCTCGAGAACTGGGGCACCTACAGAGGGTACAAATACATGTTCGTACTTCTGCATGTAACGTAGCTTTTGATTCTTGGATTGAGGCTAAAGGCGGGGATTTCAAAGGGTGTGAGCTAAATGACCACTGCGTGGGAGGAGCTCAGGACGTTTAGGAGCGGAGTTTGCCATTCCACTCCCATCATTCTTTTTTTTTTATTTCTAGTCACGACAAAAGTACGGAAATTGTACAAATGCATGTTCGATGTGTCAAGCATATCTTAGGATGAATGGGGAATTTTCAAGATTTTTTGGGACAGAGATAAGATTTTTGACATTAAAGTTTGTGCTTGATTGCTAACAGACCTCAACTTAAAAATTTACTGTAATGCGATCTAGATAGATTCTTGCAGCCATCTTGTAGACCTTGCTTTGTCTTGTCGATTGATTACTCAAGCCACAATAACTGAGAAAAGATAGTGAAAACGGTAAAAATTATGAGGTGCCCTTATATATAGATGCAAGCATAATAATTGCGGTAGATACCGCATAGCTGCTACCGTTATTATTGACGGTTGTGACGGTACAGAAGGGTTTTTTCTCCTAAGATTGCAAAGCTGAAGTGCATTACTTTTAGCCCAAACCTCTTCTGTATAGAACTACAATTGTGTTAAAGAGTACATTGTAAATCGTTTTTGGGGATTTCCTCATATGTCGTTTTGAAGCTTCATTTTTAAGAGTCAAAATTATTTGAATTTCTCTCAAGTGCTGAAAAAAATTGTATAAAAAATGCCATATCAAAGAGTGACCTCAATTATAAAAGAGCAACAAGCAAGCGAACCGAGTCACTGATATGGACGGATCATCCTTACCTCTTGGGCGTTTTTCATACTATAAGATATTTCTAAATAAGATTGTTGCAGGTAAAAATAAGCGACTTTGGTCTATCAAGGCTTGGTGTTCAATATAGGCTGAAAGCAGCTATGAAATTACCTATAAAATGGCTTGCCCCGGAAACCATAACAACTTTCACGTTCTCTTTGAAAACGGATGTCTTCAGTTACGGTGTAATGGTCTACGAGATATTCTCAGATGGGGCTGAACCATGGGATGGTCATACAAATGCCGAAGTCAAAAAAGCTGTCAGTATGCCGTCGTTGGTTGTGTACATAGCGAATAAGCGTATTGTAGTGTCATTCAGGTTATCGAAGGAAAATGTCTTACATTCCCAAAGTGTACGCCAGAGAAAGTGAGAAAGTTTTTCGTTCAGCATGTTCTTGTCAAAAATCCAGCATCAAGAGCAACAATGTCCGAGGTTGGAAATGCGCTAACTCCCATCAATGCGCATTTCTCGCGCTATCAACTAGATACCATTTTGCAGGTAGTAAAACTTTTGCAAGCTTGCGGTGCTACAAGTGGGGCACCGCGATCTCAGATGTCTGAAGTGCGCTCAACCTGAACAAAGAAAACAACGTCTATCGATAGTCTTCACCTTCATAGTCTTTTCTGCATTCGTAACGTAATTGCGGAAAGAAAAATATCTGCAAAGTACAGTGGTGTCTGATTTTATTGCCATGGGTTATTATCTTAAATTTTCTATCCTGCTCATCATGCTCCATAAACAGCTATTTAAAATAGCCTGTTATTTCGTCAAGAATTCTCCCTAATAAACAATTAAATTGGTCGAATCTACACTACAGAAGAAGCAACTTAACTTTAGTAATCTTTTAAGCTTATATATCTTTGAATATCCTTGCACTACCATAAGCATACATAAAACTGGATCGTTCTATATATGAGTCGTGGTCCAGATTTAAAGTTCAAGGTTCAATACCAAACGAAGCGCAGAACCCAATGGTGCCAACACGATTTTGATAGTCGCAAGATGCATGAGGCGCAACGGTTCACGAGGTCTAGATAGAGGATTCTACACGATTGCTAGAGTCGGTGACTTTGCTCGCTCATTGAGCTTTCTCAGTTCTCCTTCTCTTCAGACCCTTTTCTGTTATCGGGTGTTAGCTTGCTTGAAGCGATTCTGAGAAGCAGGGGATTATTGAAGTGACGTGAGGTCTTAGTGCATTCTGCTCGTTCAATAACCGCAAATTCACGCTCTCGCCGTTACGCAGAGTCCGATACAGCACCACAATCCGCGCCGCTCAACTAGTATTGCTTTTGCGATTTTGTTCGGCGTAGAATTCACGACTTTACGGTAGCGCGTAAAGAAATTGCCTAGAGCGCAATTCTAGATTTTCCGCCCTCGTATCTTTCAATACACGCAAGTTATCGGCATAAAGCATTATTACAAACGTCTTAAGAATTTTGGAGCTTTGACACGACAAATTTTGAATCGCAACTCCTATTTTTGCGTAAAGATATTTCTCAACAGGATTTGCTGTTGCAGAAGATCAACTTGAATTAAAGTGCATGGCTTTTCTTATAGTCGTGAGACTCAGGCCGCTGCACATCGTCTCAGAACCGTTTATCGGTAAGGTCACAATAAATGCGTAAATGCATTGCGTCAAACACTAACAAAACAATAATTTGAAAATGACAAGGATTGAGGTCACCCATGAGGACTGGTGGAAATTGAATAGCAATCTATTAGGTTGTCCGGAATTTGACGCATGCTTTTTGTAGCTGTATTTTCGATCAACCTGTTCATAGTCTAACATTTTTTGTTTCGGTTGTTAGCTTCATCTTATAATTTTCCAAACAATCATTGCAGAGGCTCAAAAAAAAACAAAAAGCTTTTCTTTATCCACTGCTTGAATGTGATCTCATATGATACAACAGAATATGAGTATGATAACTAGCTAAAGTGAGAGGCTAAAAGATCTACAAAACACTCTAACTCCTCCTTTCAACGATTACAGGAGCAGAGATGCTGAGCTCCGAATATGATCAAATATGAAGGGCTTTCATCCCTTTAAAGGCAGTGTCTTGACAGATTTTGCACCTCCACCTTTTTGCATGTTTTAGGCCTTTTCTCCACGTAGAATCCGAATTTGAGCTTTGAACGGGCTGAAAAGGCCGATTTTGGGGCGTTTTCCTAATTCCAGAAAAGCAGTTTGGACGACATTTTTGATGGAAAGTTGGGGAGGTCCTCAGACGAAGATCCTGCCGCCTGTAATTCTTGCTTTGGATAGCATGCATCATGGGGGAGAGCGCTCGTGGGGTCCCGCGCCGAACAGGTGGGGAGGGCCGTCCAAGCGCGCGCCAGTTGGGGTTGCGCGGGTTCAAGGGCCATTTTCTCGACCCAGGGGGAACATCACCCAACCGGAGTGCGGCTGGAGGGCGATGGGGTGACCAGGAACCCCACCACACGTATATCCCCCAGCACCCGAATCTCCCGGGACACTGCATTCAAAGGGCTTCAAAACTTTTCTGATTCATCGATTTTCAAGATGATTAAAAAGATTGAAAAAATATGAAGATAAAGATAAAAAACCTACTAATAAAGACCAATCATGGACATGTCCTGGGATGACTTTGTAACAACTAGCTCTTAGGACGGATTCTATATATTAAGTTTTTGTAAATGCGATGCGCGTTCTGCAAGTTCTTCCATTGACGGTTATAACATTCTAAATAATCAGTATTTTTTAGTGCAATAAAGACCATCGGAGATATCAAACTCTTTGCTAACAGAGCATCCATCGTACTCTCTATCACAAACAGGAAGAAAAACGGGATGGACAAGCAAAACAAAGTTTTTGCTGAATCTTTGTTTTTATTCTTTTTGACTAACCATAACTCCCTTCAAAATTTGTTAGCGAAAATGTTAAGTAGCCTATCTTTTAGCCGCAAGCTAATAGTAGAAAAAATAAGTTGAAATGAGCTCAACCAAAAAGAATTTGCGAAATGGAATTCCATGTTGGTTTTTTCAATGTTTTTCGGAGGCCTCAAAGTTCCAAATGATGGACTTTTTTTGATTTTTTGCGTACTGAATAAATAGCTAAACAATTGTGCAAAAACTGTACACAAGAGGTTTACCTCTTAGCTTACAGGATAGCGCGAAGCGTTGGCGATTGTCTTCTTCAGAAGAAATTTATAAGCCACAGAATGACCAAAACGATTACCCATGCTGAAACGCAGAAATCTTAGTCTAAGTAAATTCTAAGAGAATGGTAAAGTGTGCATAGTGTAGACAATTATTTCAAACAATAGTTGGATTTTCGAAAGAATGTCTTCATTCGCGCTTGAATTCTGGTCAGGAAAGTAAATGCAATGGAATTATGGTTTCGAATGCGGTAGGCTCTATAAATCTTTGATGAATGAGGCTATAAGCCGGTCCTGATCACTATCGAACAGAGCATGAAAAGAGCTTCTTGGTAATTTGTTTTTTTTTTGAAGAAGAAAATTTGATAGAAAAAAATCGTCCTAAAGCAAGAGCGAGGAAACGCTCATTACCTTTGCACTAACCTAATAGCATTACTGATTTGAGGTAATGCAGCTTTCTTTATTAATGAATCTTAGGTTTGATGGGGTGTATGTCAAAAAGCACGATTTTTATTTACCATCTCAGACAATCGCCGGGGGCAGGTGGGTACAGGAAAAATAGATTGCTGATCTCCCGCACCCCGCTCGCGGATTTTTTGGAAAACAATCAGGACTTTTCGGAAGACCGCTTGCTGAGTTCTCGATTCCTCAGAAATTCAGCAATATATCTGCAAAAGATAAGAGCGAAAAAAATTCAACAGGCGGTCTCTCAGAAATCCGCTGACTCAGCAAGCGGTCTTCCGAAAAGTCCCGATTGCTTTGCAAAAAATCCGCGAGCGGGGTGCGAGAAATCAGCAATCTATTTTTCCGGTGCCCGCCTGCCCCCGGCGATTGTCTGAGATATACTAAATATACAAATTGGCTTTACAACGTTGTAAAAGCACCACAATTTCCAAGGATTCTAGAAGATAGTTAGTAGCATGGGTTGTTCAGTCTAAAAATCTTGAAACAGATGCGCCCGTAGTAAAACTTCGTTATTTCAACTGCTCAGATAATCGCCGGGGGCAGGCGGTCCGCAAACTCGCGCTTTTCTGCAGGCGGTCAGCAGAATTTTGGGGCGTGGCCAAACCTTCAGCGGGCGGCACTTCCTTTACGGTCGCATATTCTGCCAGCGGGCAGCAATACAGCATTTTTTGCAAGCGCTCGGCAAATAATCTCTTTCAGCGAGCGCTGTCCAAACTTTCAGCAAGCGCTCGGACTCTTTTTAGGCATTTTCGGGCCTATGTCGAGCGCAGGTAAGACTCTGTGTGGCAGAGGTATCACCGTTGGTTTAATTACTCAAGTTTGAGGTACTTTCTCTCAGCGAAAAGTACCTGAGGGTTGCGCGGTCCTCCACAAAGCACCGTGCGGCCCTCGAAATTTTTGCACATTCTCGCGGAAAGTCCGCGAGAATGCGGCCACTGCGCCGCAGCTAATCCATAAAAAAACCGCGATTGTTCCTCAAGCATTCGTCTTTAATTTCGCCAACTTTCTTCCAAATTTCTGCAAGCGGGCCGCAAAAAATCAACGAACTATTTTTCCGGTGCGCGCTTGCCCAAAATTCGCATGGCCGCCTGCCCCCGGCGGTTATCTGAGTGGACTAAGGCGGGCCTAAGTTGTTCTTACGGCGCCCCAGCGCAGTATAATTCCAGCCATTGATCCCAATGCGGACTGCTCTATAGATGCGCGTTTTCAAACAAGAAACGCTGTTACGCTCGTGCATGTTTGGTCAAATGGTTGACACTAGGCGATACACTTGGTAGCGCCACGGTTCGAAACTAGCAAGTGCCAATAGTTTTGCTAAATCGCCGGGCCAATTTTAAGTGGCGGCCATTATTGAAAAAGCTATGATCGGCGCTGTTAAAGATTTTGCCAAGGCAAACTGAGACATCAAATCACGATAATCTAGTATTGATATCCATAAACCAAGGTTTGGAGACCTTTAATATGATAGCGCGCTAAAGCCGTCTGTTTCTTTTCTTTCCGTGATGTCTGTGTGTCTGCGTGAAAATCTGTCTGTTCACATAAAAGGAAAAGTCAAGCCCTTTGTCTAACGCATGCTACTAGCATGTAGGTCCAACATGCCGAAGCACAAGAGGATTCGTGGTAAAATGTTTCGAAAATTGAGAGCCGAGCGGATCCTTATGATCTTTGGAGAACCAAAGTGGATCCGGATTACGACTTTTGCAAAGTCATAGGTATGGTTGACAATTGTGCGAGCCGTGAATATTGACCCAAAAAGAGCAGAAATCCACTATTGTGCAGAATCGGCGTCAAAAAGGAATAATAGCTTAGAAGTTCTGTTTCTAAGATGTTATTTGAGAATTTTCAAAAATTCTCAGAGATGTATTCTAACAGCGGCCATTGTCTTCGGAGCGACTGTCATGCCATAGTAAGTCCAATAAGTGTGTAGCCTTCTACTTGTACTTGTATTTGTGGTGGTCCGGGACACTTGTAGAGTAGTAGATTTATTAGCAGACCGGATCTGAATAAGAGCGGACGATAAGATGAGACGAATGACTTAGCTAGCAGACAGAGCTTTATATGCCGCTCAGATCCCACGCATAGATGAGTGTAACACTAATTAATCAGATCCTAGACGACAACTACACGAACAAAAAAGAATACAGAGTAACTCTCCAACATCTCCTTAAA